ATTAGTCTTTATTCAGTCGAGAGCTACCATATAGGCTACTCAAATACAACCTACTTAAGTATGGAAAGTGAGTGGTTTATAATAGAAATCTTTTTATGATGACTGGTTCACTGCTGACCACATCGTTAGGTATTGTAGTGCATGATTAACTCCCATAATGCACTGCTATAGTGGTCGTCCGAAACGAATTATCGAAGTCAGTAGTTTCAGCCAGAAAGAGCCGATGGCTATAATGAACTTTTTCACCTAAAATAGTATTTGAAAGCTTCATCTTGACCAAAATGTTACAGAAGTTTGAGAAGAGGCTTCTGTTCTATACTGGATAACCACGTTAACAAAACGAAGAAACGTTTGATAATATGAATATTAGCGGTCCAGATCCGCAGATAAAATCTTCAGCTTTGATTCTACGGACCATGTTAACTCTTGAAAAGAAGGGAGTAGAATTGCTTAAACAAAGTTAACTTTGTGATGAAACATTTAACATAAAAACTAGGAACATATGATTTTTTACAGTGTTCATTATTTTTTGCATCTAACGTAAAAGTATTCAAAAATTTCATAAAAAAATAGCACTGGGAAAAAAACCTTAAAACTTTGTTAGCTAGCAGCATCTTCTGATATTGGACTTCGACAAGCTAGTTTTATAATTTTTCCATTTATACATTTTAACGTACAAAGTAATGCTTTTAAAACAGATCTTTTGCAAAGTTGCAGAAAAAAAATGTACAGTAAACACTACCTTAAAGCACGAAAGTTTTCAATATGTTGAATAGGCAAATAAGTATGATTCAATCGAATAATTAAAATCACAAGTTGGGGTTAAATGGGCCAAATCGAAATTTTCCATATGGATACAGAAACATATGACCTTATTAAAAATTCATCGTGCATTGTCTCCAAAGTGAGTCATCGATCCATACAACTAGGTTTTAGTGTTTTGTTTCCGCTACAGAATTCCGTGTCATATGTGGTTAATTGGAAGTTGCTCACGTGAATCGAAGAAATGCTAGTTAAGTGTTATAAAATATCGCTTTATTGCTCTGACGCAAAATTAAATTGGTTATGATTGGAGCTATGTCGGTAACAGTCAAAGTGAATGCTATTCAAAAATGCACAGAAGCTATACTCTAGCCTATAAAAGTGTAATAAACTCTACAATTTTTCTGTAAATGTTTGTTTGATAGATCGGATGTAATAAATAGTATTTGACTAGTGTATTTCTTAATTTGAGTGTTATCGAATCCTCATGATATACTATATTTACGATAATGACATTTTCGGCAGATGTGTGCATACTTTTGTTTATAATTACCATACCTTTTCCTGATTACTATGTCACAACTATTGATTTTCAAACATTTGGTTTTTGGTCTGAATTGGATCTGTTTGCTTTCAGTCTCTGTGACCGTAACCAATCGTTTCGTGCTCGTTAGCAATAATCAGTACGGTATAGATATTATCTTGGAGACAACGGAAATCAAACAACAAATATGTTTTGTTCTATTTCTAATACGTCTATTAAAATAATAATATATCAGGTATACTGGTAGTTGTACAGGGTGGCAAATATATAACTGATGGATTTAAGTTGCGCGCCATTTCAGATACACGCATTTCAGTTGGTGGCGCCGTAGTAGTTGTTTAAAGCAAATATGTAACCAATTCCCACAACGCGTCCGAATTGTTAAAACGTTTCACTTAAATAATGAGTCCATTGTTGCAACGACTCGGAAGCTTCGACAAGATTTCGGACGAAATAATGTGCCGAGTGGCAACACCATTCATCAGTTGGTGCGGAAATTTAAACAAACAGGTGAAGTTAAAGACTTGCTAAGATAGGGCCGTGTTCGAACTCGAAAAATATCGAGAGAGTTCGTGAAAGTGACTTGCATTTGGGGCCATACAAAATTCAGCTAACCCAAACAATACAGTTATGCAATATTGCAGCTTAATACCCAAAATAACGTTTTTAACCGACAACTGATGATGAGCGATGAAGCCCACTTCGATTTGAACGGATTTGTTAATAAGTAGAATTGTCGTATCTGGACATTAGAGAACCCTCGGGTCATCCATCAACGACTACTACATCCTCGTCGAGTCACAGTTTGGTGCGGTGTATGGTATGGAGGTGTCATTTGAACTTTCTTCTTTGAAGGCGCTGAAGGTCTCTTACTGTCACTGGCGGGCTCTACCGTGATCTGGTGCAAAACTTTCTGGCCCCTCAAATCCAACAATTTAACCTGCAAAACATGTGACAACTTGTCACACATCTAGGGAAACAAAGAATCTTTTCCCAACAATATTTCCGGGACGTTTAATTTCTCGATTTGGTGATGTCAACTGGCCACCAAGGTCAGCGGATTTAACGAGTCCTGACTTTTTTATGGTGATTTTTGAAAAGGAGGGTTTATGCCAACGAACCAAATACTGTAGAGCAGCTGAAGAATATTACGGAAGCGATTGAAAATATTCCTCCAAAAAGTGATGGAAAAAGTAATCAAGAGGCATCAGGTTATTATTTTTCATACGTAATTTCTAAGTTTCAATAAAAGATTAAGATGAAAAACTTGGACGTATTTTATTTCATTTCACAAATATTCAAGTTACAAACCAGTCAGTTACGAATCGGCCACCCTGTATAAACCACTATCCGATGTTAGTTTCCTCATAAAACAATTCCCCGCTTCATTTTGACTTTTGACACCCTGTATAGTTTATAAATTGAAAGCATATAAGTATTATCTTTGACATATAAATAATAATTGACAACTACATCCCGCAATTAAAATATATGACATATTGTTCCAATCGTTGACAATAGAAAGGTCAATATTCTTTCATTCAGCATGTAAAACCCTTTGTGTAGCATGCGCCTTTATCGTGGAAGAGGATCAAATATTAAAGCGGAATACAGCATTTCATATCACTCATACGATTTTTGTTTGCTTCAATTGTAAACAGCGTAGTGTGAAGTCCAAAAAAATTCGGCACCTCGAGAAGGCTGTAGGAATCTGATTTTGCACAGTATCTTATTACGTGTTAATAAAATTGTCATTGAATGAGGGATATTTCATAATAATCCTTTGGCTTATATACAGCAGTGGCGTATGTAGTTGTTTACGGAGGAAAAAAGTTAATATTTCAGTTTGGTTTGTTTAAGATTCATTTAGCATGATTGCTACAATTGCATTCTTCTAAAAAAACTGAACAATTACTAAAGATACAGATATTTAGGAAAAAATAAAATTTGTATAAGTAGACTATATCTATTCTGAAATATTGATTTGCTAGTTATATTACTATTGCAATTTTGTAAATGAAAATCTATATTTCCTCTTGTATAATAATTGTGGTAATGATTATTCAATTCTATGTAGTGATGTGCTAAATGTTGTGGCAAAAGGCGATTTTTTGTTTTAAATATAAAAATAAGAACCAAATATGATATGGATTTTTTTATATTCAACCACTGCAATTCTTGTAACATAGATTTTATTTTGGTGTACCTATTTTTATACAATATTCTTCTCATAGCTTTATTTTGCAGGACTGGTAATTTTGAGAACACAGTTTCAGTGGCATTGAGCAAGACAGTTGAATAATATAGTAAATGCGGTAGACTAATTGTATTATAAACTATTTTCTTGGAATATGTACCAAGACTATGAGAAGCCCTATAAAAGTTATTTGTTTTTTGGCAATTTTTGAAATAATGTATTCATAGTGATCCTAAAACTTTAGTTTACTATCAATATATATAATATTTAATTGATTCAACATTTCCAATTATTTCCCCATATATCCTGTGATAGTATTTTCATTTAGGTAATTCCCTATTAGCATAGCTTTTGTTTTAGAATTGATCAATTTTAGTTTATATACATTTAATCAATTTATGATTTCTGCCAAGTCAGAATTTAGCATTTTTAAAGCAGAGTATATTTTCATCTGATATGTATATTAATGTATCATCAGCAAATATCTGAATTTTACAATAATCTAAAATATTACAAATGTCATTAATGTATAAAATAAATAGTAGTGGACCTAGTTTACTAGCTTGTGGTATACCAACAGAAATATTTTTTGATCTTGATAATGTAGATACAATTTTGTTTTTTTGACTTCTGTCAATTAAATAGTTTTGTAGAATTTTGAATACAGATCCTTTAAATCTGTAGTGATGCAATTTTGTAAGTAATTTATCTTTGTCAATAGTCTCAAACGCCCTTTTGAACTCCAAAAACACTGTTACTGTATGTTTCCTATTGTCGATACATCTCCTCCAGTCCTCTAAAACCATTTGTGTTGCCGTTTCAGTTGAGTGTTTATATACTTATTTCTCTATGTGTAAGTAATGCCCCAATTAGATTAGTATTACGATACTTTACAAAAACAAAATAATCTTTATTGTTCTTGAAAATTTTAATGCAATATAAACATATAACCTATTCGACTTCGTTGATACGGACTGGTTAGTGTCACTTTTGCGGAATCTTCTTGACAAGTAAAATGAACACTTCAGTGGAATGCATAACACTCATATACCATTTATTCTAAGCTCATGATTTGAATCGATTAAAATAAAGGTTTTTACAAAATCAAAATGTATAGAGAAGCTGTGAAATTAGCTGGCCATAATAATATTGCTCAAGTCCATCCGACCAACTGAGGACCTACTCTGAAGAGCCGTTTCATTCTTACTGGCAATCCTCGGCGCGGTCTAGGCTTGGTCTCAATGAACAAATAAACAGAGCCCTCTGTTGGTAAGGAGGGATGAAAACAGTAACTTTCAATGGCACCAGAATCGACAACATCAAGCGGTCACAGTGATGAGTCGGTTGTCGACGCTAACTGAGATACTTTACAATTCCAATTCACTCTCGCAGTGATTGCTTCTGTAAAATGTATGGTTTTGATTCATCAGCTACTTCGCAAATAGATAAAGTGTAATCTGCAGAAAAACGGGTTTGTATTGAACATGCGGTACTTACTTGACGTCCTCAACGAACTTCTCTAGCTTTTCCGTGACGGGAATGTCGGGCATTTTCATTTGGATAACATCCCCATTCCTCCGGCTGATCTCGGCGACTACCGTGTCCGGACCATACCACCTCTGCATCAGTTCGTCCGTTATCGTTTCCGATATGTTCGCTGCAACAAAAATATACTTTTCACTAGATGTCCAGAAGAAACATTTTTTATATACGTAGTCATGCCATAAGTTCTGTCCCTCGTTTTCAAACAAGTGTAGACCTGTTAATACTTGTCCGATTGTTTACATTGTGGTGTCAGTTGATTAAGCGCTTTTCGGGTAATTACATATACCTCAGTTTGTATTGATCTCTCGAAGCATAACGATGGAGTGGGGCAAGGCAGAGAACCGTATTGCAGTGATAGCTTTACATAAGTGTAATCACAGTGCTAGTCAGATTTTTGAACTCTTACGCGGCCTTCAAATATCGCGTAAATTTGTGTCTAGGACCATTCAGCGGTACAATGAGACGTCCTCTGTTGATGACAGGCCAAGAAGCGGAAGACCTCGTCAAGTAAGGACTCCAGCAGCCATCAAAGCCGTAAAAGCCAGGATTCAAAGGAATCCACCCCGGAAGCAGAAGATCCTATCCAGGGAAATGAAGATTCCTGTCCGGACGATGTCGCGCATCATTAAACAAGACCTAGGGCTAGGGGCTTACCGGAGACGTACGGGCCAGCGACTTACGGCCACCTTGCGACACATCAGGGCGACAAGATCCAAGAAGCTCTTGGAGAGGTACGCAGCTGGGGGATTCCGAAAGATTTTGTTCACGGATGAGAAAATCTTCACCATAGAAGAAAAATTCAACCGACAAAATGACAAAGTGTATGCAAGGAGTTCACAGGAAGCTTCGGAGATCATTCCGAGAGTTGAGAGAGGCCACCACCCTGCGTCAGTCATGGTTTGGTGGGGGGTGTCCTACGAAGGGGTCACTCAGCTCCATTTCTGTAAACAGGGCGTGAAAACAAAAGCGGCAAACTATCAGAGCGACATACTGGATCCTATCGTCAAGCCTTTAAGTGGTACATTGTTTGCCAACCAACACTGGGTCTACCAGCAGGATTCCGCCCCCGCTCACAAGGCTAAGAGTACGCAGCGCTGGCTGGAAAGCAATGTGCCAGAGTTCATTGCTGCGGAAGATTGGCCCTCAGGGAGTCCGGACCTCAATCCTTTAGACTACAAGTTGTGGGACCTGCTAGAGCAGTTGGCCTGCTCCAAAGCCCACCGTAATATCGAGTCCCTGAAAGCGAATTTGATCCGATCAGCGGCAGCTATTCCTTTGGAAGCTGTGCGTGCAGTGATAGATGAGTGGCCCGCGAGATTGAAGCAGTGTGTGAAGGCCAAGGGGGGACATTTTGAATAAAACTGTTTGATTATGAATTCTAAAAATGTTGTCGAATAAATAATATCTTTCATATAAATATATCTTATCTTGTTTCATTTTTATCATGAGATTATCATGGGACAGAACTTATGGCACGACTACGTAATTTCGCGTAATCATGAAGACTTATCTTAAACGTGACGAAACAAATAAGGTGCGTGGATTTGCGCAAAAATAATACAAATCTATTGTTTCAATCAAACTTATTCATTCTACCTCCAGTTTGGTACATGTTAAGTATAAGAAAAGATTGTATAAATCCACTAAACCGACACCGATGAACCCTTGCTTCAAAAGCATCAGTGTTCAATGTTAGATCCTTCGTCGAAGCGACCTAGGGGAAATGTAAAGTTTTACGACTCGAGTTTCAATATTTCCCTGAAAATGCCGACATAGCGACACGTGACGGGAGTTTAAAAAACCGGTTTTATGGTTTGGACTTCATAGTAGGAGCAGAGAAAGAGAAACTAGGGTTGCTTCAATCATACATCAAAAGTGTACTGTTACCAACATCAAGTATTTCGCGTTACTACAGCGCTAACAAGTTCTGTTTATTTGGAACTTGATTTATATTTCTTTTTTACACCGAAGCAGCCGCGCAGGAAGAAGCCCAAATGCCAGGGCAGCGCGGCTGCTATGAGGATCCCAAAGACACTTTGTTAATCCGATTTTTGAACTTCCTAAGGTTAGCAGAACTGGGAAAAGCCTGCTCTTGTAGATTGTTCCACAGTCTCGACACCCTAGGGACAAGGAGCGGTCGTATCGGCCTTTTCTGGATGTCTGTTCGACACGGTTAGGATGGAAGGCCGAAGTCAGGCAGGCATATCGCGCGGTGGTATCATGGAAGAGAGCTCTGAGGAGCAAAGCCCGTTGATGTAGCGGTAGAAGAGAGCTAGATCGCCGACGGCCGGCCAGTGCGAAAGGGTCCCGAGACTGTCTGTTATAGAAGAGCCATCGATCATGAAGTTGGGACAGCAGCACCCCAAACATGAGAGCGAGGAGGTCATGTCGAGAAAAGTACTTCTTAGCTCTAAACCAGGGCTGTCCAACATACGGCCCGCCTCACGGGTATAAATTACTCTCAAATACCGAATATGCACAATTCTTACATTAACTCAGTAATAATGTTGTATAGAAAGATTTCATAATGCGGCACTCCAAACTGCATTTTTTTTGAAGTGGCCCTTGGACAGCCCTGCTCTAAACAAATAGCCTAGCTTTTTTCCAGCAGCTGCCGCTATTGACGAGATGTGTTTGTGCCAGATCAAGTCTCAAAGATCGACTATTTTCAACAATCCTGCTGCAATCCATGGGTTTGACAATAATATACAGGTTGTTTTATAATTGAATGTCAATATTTAAAGGGGAGATGTTTGAGTCCATAATAAGAAAGCCTTATTTGAACGGATGTCGTAGACGTTTTAGCTTTTGAGATACAGGGTCAAGTTCTCAAAAATAAATTATTTATTATTAAATACCACTTTAGCGATTTTAATCGAATTTGGCATACATGTGCTATGAGCAATTTTTTAATCCTACACATTATTCAATTTCTACCAGTGGCCAAATGAACATCTAGAACAAATTCAGTTTATATTATAGAAGTTCATTATCAGAGAATTGCATTAGACTAGAGCTGTCTGTCTACCGTCAGGCTGACACATATACTTTTAATTTTAGTTCGATGGAACAAAACTGAAATGTCTGCTTGAAGTTCAATGCTGGTAGCAATCCGCTATCTCCAAACTAAATCTGAACATAGGTTTATGGGGGTGCTTAAAGTGTAGCTTAATTTTATGATCATTTGATTTGCTTAAATTTTTGTTTCTTCCAAATGTTTAAGTTCCGTTAGAAAACAAAAGGCTGGCACAGAAAATACCGATAGCAATATTAGAAAAACGTGTTGTCTCTGAATTCACATCAATTATCTGAAAAATGTACATATGATAAAACAAAAATATTATTACATAAATATTGTATGTCGAACCATGCTCTCAAATTTGCAGAAAAATTATCGTCCTGTTTTGGCTACCATGCAGCATAGAAAAACAGGTTTCTAAAGCCATAAAAATCTTCCCGTTCCCCGGCATGTTTATTGCAAATGTTCGCACAAATTAACCAACTAGCCAGACCACAAAGCTAAAAGTTCACATTTATATTAGCATCGGCAAATAGAGGAAATTTTTCGCAAATTATAAAAACAGATGTTATCACGTTTTAATTACATAAGTATCAACTATCTGTTTGCGCAAATACAGCATGAGTGTTTTCGCTAGACAGCATGGTTACATCTCATGATTCTAAATTAAACACGATGTTTTTTTCAAGGATCAATGTATAATATTCAATTGATGTTCAATGGTCCTTCAAATCTAGGAAAATATCAAAACACCGATAAAAGAGGATCTTTCCAACTGATCCAGCTATTAATGAAATAAAACATTTTTAAAGCAATGGATAATACACAACAATTAGTTTGGAATATACTAAATTACATAGAAAATGCAACACCGACTAGGAGTGCTGTAATTTTGAGCATACTTTTACAAGTTTTAGGTCTACTGATAAATAGAAAGTGATTGAAATTTTAGCTCGAACTTTCGCAAAATAGCTGAGATATCCCACCTTAATGTTAATAATGTGTTGAAGCTCCTCTGTTCGTTACACATTCGTTAAGTCGCCGCGGCATTGAATGGATTAGGTGATTGATGTTCTTGGCGTATTGTATTGAAGGCCATCTAAATTTGCGGTGAATTTTCTCCCATACATGTTCGATGGGGGAAAGGTCTGGAGATTGAGGAGGTCACTAAAGCAGATTTACTCCGGACGCTTCTAAGAAGTCTAAACTAAGAGCTAAACTATACCGGCGATTTTCTACAGGGTATTTTACGCGACGGTCCTAATCGAAAGCGCGCGGTTAAATGAGCGAAAATACGTCACGTTGTCTTTACTGCCGTCGGCAGTGGGCGTATTGCATGCTTTCGAATGCGTTGATATCACAAGTACAAGTACGGAGTAAACTAGACAAGGCGACGGATCTCCGTTGGACGTACAGTCCTTAACAGCAGCGCAACCTAACACAATGGGATCCATTTTGCAACTAGCAAAAATAAGTGGTGTAATTGCCGTGAATGTGCTCGATTGAAAAATCGCTTTCTGTAGAGCTGCCAATATTCAGCGAAAATCCTGCCGCGTGAAATACGCCGCGGAAAGTCCGCCCATATAGTTTGGCTCTAACACGTGCGACATGAGGTCGTGCATTGTCCTGCAGAAAAAGTGGATCTTGCGATGTTTCCAAAAAGGGTCGCAGATGTAGTTGTAAAACTTCGTGGATATAGCGCTGGGCAGTCATGCTACCTCGAATGAACACTAATCGTGACCTGCTGCCCATAACATTGCGATGAATATGCCGTTCCATGGAATATTGGACGTTCCGTTCCGTCTTTCACCACGTCTCCGCCTTACTCTTGCACGGCCATCATGTGTGTCCAAACAGAATCTGGACTCATTGCTGAGTTCTACTCCATATTCCATTCAAGTTTCTCCCTACTCCATACCAATCGTTGTCGACGACGCTGTGGGGTCAGAAGTAGTACAAGATGGGAACGGTATGAAAACAGTCCAAAAGACGTTACTCGGCAATGAACTGTCCTCATTGTTATTTCCCCTTCGACAGCATCAAACGACTACTTCGCAGCTGCCATTGTTGTGGTAAATCGATCTCTGAGTGCC